ATAGTTGGGATCAAGCTGAGAAATTGGTTATGAGTAAACACAAATCAAATACCGCTTTAGTCTTTAATGCAGAGTGAATCGTCATAACCAAAACCAATTAGTATTGCACAGTTATACTTATAACATTTATTTAATATGTTTAGTTGTTTGGTAAAGCACTAAAGTTATTCGGAGATTTTTTTTGTTTGCAACTTGATCATGATATAATATAATAAAGGAAACCTGTGCGGTTGGGTTTCTTTCTCGGTTTGATGTTCGGTTGGAAGTGTGGTTTAATCCTTGACCAATTGTTGACGCACATGTGCCTATCATTCTCTTATCGGACACTTGTTTTGATCTGGAAACCGCACTCAATAATGTCCATGTCCTTGGATGTGGTGCTGAATTCCAACAATACCTCACTCTACGGTTTGTCATTTAATTTAACCTGATCCATACGTAGATGTTCCGTTCTGACCTCGGGGAGATGCTCAAGTGCTTTTTTCTCATTTGGGAAACCCTTGCAGCTTCGACGCCACAATAGGTCAGCTTTAACTGCCATCTGCTGTTTAGGGGAAACCACCACGCAATACATTTGTCCCTGAAGGGATGATCAAGGAATTTCCAATAGCTCGGTGATTGTTGGGAAATTGATCTACGTGCTTCTTCACCCAATTTCGTGCAGTTGTTGAAATAGATATAATCCAATACTGGAGACTCTAAAGGGAAAGGCATTAGTGCCTCCAATGATTCACAATTTTCTACTATTAGACTTCTGAGCGAGGCAGGGAGCTCTGGCAGTGATGCAAGTTTTGGACAATCAGTTATACAAAGATCTTCTAACCCATAAAGATCTTTGATGCAATCTGAAAGTTTCTCAATATCTGGGCCACTGCCAAATACAACGAGAACCTTAAGGCGAGACCACAACCTAATTGATTCGGGTAAATCTTGTAACAGTGTGTCTGTGGTTGAGAGGCATGTGATGTTCCTGGAAATATCTGGAAATTTTCTCAACCGGCAACATCTTAACATGTCGAGGCTTTTAAGAGATGCCAAGCTGACGAGGGTCGGAACAACTTGTAGCATCATACAGTATCTCATATCCAAACGCTCTAGTTTTTGAAGATTTCCAATAGAGGAAGGAATCTCTACCAAACTGAAGCAACGATCCAAAGACAATATCTCCAGATTTGTAGCGTTCGAAAGATCTGGGAGTTCCTTCAAATTCTTGGACTCTGACAAACGCATCTTCTTGAGATTTGTAAGGGGCTGACTGTAAGTCACCAAAACAAAGGAAGAAAACACATGATAAGACTAAAGTACATACTTCAAGTGGTTTTTATTCGTTAGTTGAATGTAATTAAT